TGGTGCACATCGCTCGATCACTATGCCCTATGTATATACCCGCTCCCCCCTCCCCACCTGCCCAATACCTATTTACTGTAGCACCTATGTGTCTACTTAGCGTTGCTACTTCCAGTTAATACCAGTTTGCCTGAGAATATATCTGGTTGCTTGTTTTTCCTTCTTGGGATACTTCCATCTAGTAGTATGCGTTCCAGCTAACCAGGAAAATATAAGGTGTGCCGTATATCGACCGATTGTTGCTTAGAGGCGCTGAATCAGTACTCCATGGTGTACATATATACCACATTTTATTAGATCCATTTCTGATTGATGCGGCACTTGGAGCTGGTTCACCAGCCTTGCAATTATGAATGTTGTGTGCTATAAACATTCGAGCGGCAGCGTGTCTTGTTTGTAGAGTGTCACTGGATCATTTGGCGTACGATCGCCCAGCAACTGGACTTGCCCTGGCATCAGAGATGGCTGAGATTTCACTTGGATTCGCTTTAAGGTATCTCCATATTGCTTTCCACAGAGCGTTGAACTAGTTTGCTAGTGCCCACCGGTGTGGTAGGAGTGGTCTACTCTCTCCGCAACCCACCGCCAATCGCATTTTCGTTTGGAGATTTTTTGATAAAGGCCATTCCTCACTGGCTGCTTAAGCTGATATCTCATTTGTGGCTTTTGTTTGCATTCCCTGTGATTAGAGATTTGAGCATTGTCGTTCATATGTTTGTTGGCGCATCTTCTGTCTTCTTTAGAAAAAATTTCTGTTCAAGTTCCTCTTGCCCACTTTTTAATGGGTTATTTGATTTTTTCTTCGCTAATTTTCGTGGTTCTGCTAAAACAATGTTGATTTAGTTATCAGTCCCTTATCGGCGATGCATAGGATTGCCAAAATATTCTCCATTCTGTAGGCTTGCTCTGTTTACTTCACTGGACTATTTCTTTGGCCTGTGCAGAAGCTTTGTAATTTGATCATGTCACTTTATTTATTTTGTGCTGCGCCTGTGATTGCGCTTTGATCATGTCTCATAAACTCTTTGCCCAGGTCCGGTGTCTAGAGAGAGCTGTTTCCAACTTTTTCCTCTCAAGCTCTAATAGTTTCATATCTTAGGTTTAAGTCTTGCTGGTAATCCAGCTGGAGTGTCGGTTTTGTAGAGCGGGAAAGTGTGGGTTCCTGGTTTGCCTTCTACATGGTGCTATCCCAGTTTTCCCGAGCACCTTTATGACGCGAGGATTCTTTTCCCCAGGCGTATGTTTTTGTCTTGCTTGTCAAAGTGAGATGGCTATATTCGGAGGCTGAGGCAGGAGGATTGCTTGAGCCCAGGAGTTTGAGGTTGCTGTGAGCAAGGCTGACGCCATGGCACTCACTCTAGCCTGGGCAACAAAGCAAGACTCTAAATAAATAAATAAATGAATGAATGAATGAATGAATGAATGAATGAATGTTGAATGAATGCATGAGTGCACTAAGGGATAATACAGGGGGTGGGGGGTTGCAAACTCAAGACCCAGGCTGGTAAGGTAAATGCAGGCTAGAGTGGGCTTGATGGGGTCTTGGGTGAGCCAGAGGGCACATCCTGAGTGGGGACACTACTGGTCAACCCCAGCCACTTCCTGCCATGCTGGAATAAGTCCAGAATTTCTGGTAGAACTGCTTTTCCGATAGAAGCAGAAAATGTGTCTTTTGCTGTGAACTATCTCAAGTTTTAAATGTCGGCAATAAATTCAAATTTTTAAAACACAGGAACAGAACCAACAAAACACACTGATGAGTTGGATTTGGCACACAGGCCACAAGCTTGTAACTTCTGCTTAAAACCCAAAGAGTGACTCTCAAGACATCATTGCAGGCACGCCAATGATAAAGACATCTTTGAGCTGGTTGGCCTTGCGGTGTCTCTCCTCTGCCTATGTTTGGGCTGAGTATTTATGGAGGCCTGCAGAGATTTACAGGTAGAAGACTCACATCCTCATCAATTCGTGCATTCAGCAAGTATATTTTGACTCTCTGCCTTGGATGAGGCTAAGTGCTAGGCTGGGCATACCCATGAGACCAAAACAGATATAATTCCTGCCCTTGCAGAGCCTGCCTGGAAAGGGAAAGAGATAGTCAACTGATCATTACTCAAATAACTATTTAATTAATTACAATAACAGTGAACTGAAAAGAAAACAGGGCAAACATTTCCTCTTTCATTTTTTTGTGATTTTTTTTTTTAGGTTATCTGAGGCTGGAGATTTGCACAGGGGATCGACTATTATAGCCTGCAGAACTAAAACAGGAGAATAGAATTCCTTTAAAAAGTGATTGGAAAAGTCAATTACAACAGCTACCTATTTAGTGAGCACCTACAATATGCCTGTCACTGTGCCAGGCAATTTTAAATGCATTTTCTTTACCTTTCAAAACAAGCCTTCAAGGTAAATGTTATTTCTGTTTTCTAAAGGAAAAAAAAAAAAAAAAAAACCACCAAGGCTGAGGGAGATTAAGGAACCTGTCCAAGATCAGAGAGTCAAGTGAATGACAGAGTCAAGATTTTAACCCTCGTCTGTCTCACTCTGCAGCCCACGAACTGCCCAAGTACATAATTCCCTTTCCCAGGAAGCAGGGCAGCCAATCACCACCAAGAACAAACTCCCTTGTCCAGTCTTCCAGCAACGGTACCAAATAATCCTTAAAAGGTATAATAGCTCAAACGTAATACAAGCTTATTTCTAGCACTCTAGCAACATCCCAAAGCTGCATGTGGGCAGACCCAGAACCCTTCCACCTTTCTGGCTTCACCATCTTCAAAAACAAAAGGGCTTCCACGGTTGCCAGTGTGGGAACAGGATGAGAGGGATTGTGGGTGGAGGTTATCATGGGCCAGGTGGTTGATATTATTTATTTACATTCGATTGGCTAGAACTCGGTCACATGGGACACCTGCTGCAAAGGAGGCTGGGAAATGTAGTGTATCTGTGTGCCTAGGAGGAAAGAGAATGAGTTTCATGATCAGCTAGGACTTCTGTGACACCACTTCTCAATAATCCATTTATACAGGTCGTATCTTTCGGGCGCTTGCACGTGTTCCCACAAGCTTACCATCCCTTCTGGAGTGCCCAAGGAGCTTTTTATTCACATGCCTCACAGTTTTATATCTATATTGATAGCTATTTAAAGTGTGCGCGACTGCTTGACACTATCATTTTCCTGCATGCTTTGCAGAACTTAAAGTCTCCAGGAGAGACGAGCTTTCTTTTCCACGGATTAGAAATGAATACAGCCCCCTAAGCAATCTCGCCGCAAGGACTAAGAAAACGATATAAAGAATGAAAAGCTTTCAAAAGGAAAATATTACTCACGTAGTCATCCAGGACTAGGTCTGCAAAGGAGATATGAAAATATCATAAGCCAATTTCAAGCAAATGTCATCCAAGACTCTTAAGAGGTTCCCTCTTGTCAAGTTTCCCTTTATGACACATTGAAAATTTTAGGGCATATCAATAAATCATGATTTGCCATTCCTGCGAAAGCCCTCCCTGTTGTGAAATTCCAAGTAGCTAATCCCTAGAACAATATCTTCTGGAAGATTTTTCCTGGGTATGTCTCAGTTTATTTTATGTTGCCCTTTATGTAAGGAAAGAACTCTTGACCTAGTATTCACTGCCAGCAGGGGATGCAGCATGAAACGGTTTTGCTCCCCAACTTGGGAAATAAATTACACATAGCCTTAAATGCCATCCTTACAAAAAGGAATTACTCGAAATGTGTTTCATGGAATACTCTTCCTGCAGATGTTAATAACCGTTTTGAAGAAAATAAGAGGCAAGGAAGGGTCTCTGGAGGAAAAACGGGTTATAGAAAGGTAAAGAGATTTCTTTACTGCAGGACTTTTCAGGACCTTTGGTATGCTAACTCTGGATTAAATATAGAAAAGGGGGCACAGGTTGACTCTGGAGACAGAAACAGCTGCCATTCTTTCAAATAGACATAAGATACCAACAGGGATAGAGCATGCTTCGCATTTACCTATATATCCTTCTGAGTTTGAAAACAAAGGCTTATGCTTAGCTCAAAAAATTCCTAGGTGGGGCACTGGATACACTCCCAAGTCACCCCATTGTAAGTCAAGATTTTTTAAAAAGCTCAAGTTAAAAGCAGAAGCTTTAGGGTCAAAAAACCTGAATTCAAATACTTGTTCTTCTGTTCACTTGCTGTGCAACCTTGGGCAAGTTAACGAATGTCTCTGTGCATTGTTCCTTAATATTTCATTTCCTCACATGTGAAATGGAGATAATAATAGTATCTGCTTCATTGGGACATGAGGGAATTAAGTGAGACAAACCCTGGAAAATACTTAGGCTTCCTGCACGTAATGGTCACCTCTCCTCCGTAATCATTTTTATTATATGGCATGTTACATTTCCCAGATTTATATGACGTGGGAACCTTTTGACAGGGTATCCATTATCATCTTAAGGAACACTGTAGAACTAAGCTTAGGAAATGCTCAGTCAGAGGTCATCCTATAAGGCCACAGACCACCAGGGAGGGAGAGGACCCAGACGGAGTGCGCCCAGGAGTCCAACATCATGTACGTGGTCTCTTTACACATCTCTCAAAATCCACAAAGATACATCTGCAGATGCTGCCAACTGCACCATATCCTGGGGCCACCTACTAATGTTTGATGTCTAGGACTCTGAGCGCCAAGTCCCAATCCCAGGCGGGCTTGCAGAGTTTGGGGCTGACCTTTCTTTGTTCAAAATGAGGCTCTGCTGGCTGAACCCCACGTGGGATTCTGAGACCTCACAGACAACCCTCACATGGACCACTTGAGGTCAACGCCTCCCTGTCTCCTCCTGAGGTTTATTCTTCTGTTGGTATAATGCCCTCTTACAACTTTGAATCTATTCCAGTTTGTCTACTCCGGGCTTCATAAAAGATGATCTGCCACCAAATACAGCTGTAGCAGTTCAAGTTTCAGCGCAAGTCAATAGTAAAATAATTACAGTTGCCTCACTCCTTAGAATTTAACAATATGCCAGGCAGTGTACTAAGCACCTTGTATGCACTACCTCATTTAATCTTTACAAGAACGCTATCGGGTAGATTCTATTATATGCCCATGTTACAGATGAAGAGACCGAGGTTCTAACAGTTAAAATGACTTGCCCAAAGTCTCACGGTAAGTTGCCATTTGAACCTGGGCTGGATCGCTTGAGCTTGGTTTATCAACTTCACATCATCTTCTCTTTTTCATAGATTCCCTTCCTCTCCTGCCTGTTCTCTGCAATGAGCTCTAAGAAAGGAAAAAAAAAAACTGGATGAATTTGGGCAGGGAGGAGGAATGCTAGTTTGACACATTGATTTTTAGAAAAATAGCTTTCAGCTTATTGATGTGCAGCGAATTGGCCTGCTTCCAAAATCAGAGCGAGGAATTGGTGGGTTGTTCAAGAAAGCCAAAGCAAAGACTCATAAAACATACTGCGTTCATTTCTTAAATGTTTTCATTTAACCTGAAACAAAGCATTGTCATTTGTTCACCAATCTTTTAATGTAGGGAGAGGGTCTTGTCTGGGAACACAGAAGGCTTAATGGAATTCCCTTTTCTCTTTCTTGCACAAATCAAAATCATAATGCATTACCTTTGATATCCAATTCCAATTTCCTCAGAGTGGAACACTTTAAAGGTACCCGTGAAGTAACCTGAGTGTAGCACAGTTTCAGATTTGTGCTTTTTTTTTTTTTTTTTGGGTGCCAATTTCTCAGTTGTTGTCCCCAAACTTGACAGCATTTCTTTGCAACTCATCTTTTCAAGTTTGTTTAAAGCATTTAACGTAGTGTTCATAGAAACATCTCTTCTCTTTTAACTCTTGTGTTTCATCTGTGATTTGTATTATTTGATTAAACTACGTACATGCAATAGAACCAAATGTAAGAGCCGCCGCCCTCTTGCCCCAGATGTCTGCCTGGCTCGTTCCTGCATCTTCTTCAGATCTTTGCTCTAATGCTGTCTTCTCGGTAAGCTTCTCTCTGATTACTTTATTTAAAATTACAACACTCCTTCCCGGCCTACTTTTCCCTACAGCACTTGCAGCCATCAATATAATGATCATTTTATTTCTATTGTTTGTTATTGTCTTACCCCATTATAATGTGAGTGCCACAAAGACCGAGATTTTAGCCTGCTTTGTTCACTGATGCAGCCCTAGACCCCAGCACATTAGTAGGTTGTTGACAAATACATGTCAAATGAATGAACCAATGCTCCAAAATTATGACAAGGGCCCGAAGCTTATACCAAAGGGATCTGAAAGCACCTCTATGTTTTTAAAAAGAGCCACCTAACTTTGAGGTCTGACACCTACCTCAGAGGCGTACCAGGAGGAGTAAACCTAACCCTACCACCCCCAATGCTCACCCCCTACCTCTGCCTCTTTCCAAACTATAAAAGGAAGAAGTTATAGCATGGTGAGTAAAGTTTGGGATGACAGGTGATTCCCAAGCCTTTCTAGAGAGTGATTGGTAGGGGGATATTTTTCCCACCCTGAAGCCAAATAAGGAGAGCTTTTCCTCTTTGTTCTCAATTGCCTCACCCTTATCTCCATACTGAACTGTTTGCAGAGGCTTAGATACCTGGGCAGACTTGGCTAAGAGAATTTATATCTTCGAGAATGGGAAATGGGCTGGGAGGTAGAGGCTTGACTTCTTCTCTATTTACTTCTAAGTTGTGTGATTGTTCTTATCAAAGAAGATGTTATTGTTTGCTATATACTAAGTGCCTGCCACGCATGACCTCATGTAACCCTCGGAGTGAGCTTACTAAGTAGGTACCAGCTTTATCTCCACTTTGCATAGGAGGAAACGGAAGCACACAGAGATGAACTATCTTGTCCACGTTCCCACAACTGATAGGAGATGAGCCAGGTTTTGAACCCAGGTGACTGGGTCCCTCGGTCTTCATATCTAACCTCCTATGGCCATCCATTCTGACTCATGTTGAAAGCACTCAAATTACTTTTTAAAAACATGGTACAAAAAAAAGGCCGGGCGCTGTGGCTCACGCCTGTAATCCTAGCTCTTGGGAGGCCGAGGCGGGCGGATTGCTCAAGGTCAGGAGTTCAAAACCAGCCTGAGCAAGAGCGAGACCCTGTCTCTACTATAAATAGAAAGAAATTAATTGGCCAACTAATATATATAGAAAAAATTAGCCGGGCATGGTGGCGCATGCCTGTAGTCCCAGCTACTCGGGAGACTGAGGCAGTAGGATCACTTGAGCCCAGGAGTTTGAGGTGCTATGAGCTAGGCTGACGCCACGGCACTCACTCAAGTCTGGGCAACAAAGCGAGACTCTGTCTCAAAACAAACAAACAAACAAACCACCACAACAACAAAAAACAAACAAACAAAACATGGTACAGTATAAGATCTAAAATAATATTGTAATTGATATTAATATTAATAAAATATACTCTATATTAATTTATAATAGATAAGTATACATTATCTATGGAAAATAAATATCAAAAGGCATTCTTATGCCCCAAAACGTAGGGCACAACTCCTGTTGGCCAAGCTCCTTCCGTCAAGCAGAGGGAAAAGCAAGACTCCATCAGCCCCCTCGTTCCCTCCCTGGCCTTTTCACACTCCCCAGCACAGAGGAAAAATGACCCGGGCCTGTTCTCAGACGTGTCAAGAGGCCAAAGTACCTCCCCAGCCACATCGGTCTGCCTGTTGTTACCATGTCAACTCGGGCCTCCGTCTGCGACACGGCCCGCGACTCCCATCACTCACTCTGTCCTTTCCTGTCCTGCTGTGCCAATAAAGTGATTTATCAGCGGGAGCTTGGGACGGGCTGCCAGGTTCTGGCAGAGGAAGGAGGCATGGGAACTATTTTGCTAAATAAAGGCCTGGCCGCCAACAAAACACACTTCACAGTCTCAAATGCCTGTCCCAGGAGCTCTGCTGTTGCATTCGTTCTTTCATTCCTTCTACAAATATTGACTGAGGACCTAGAGCTGGGTCGGGCTTGGAGGACACGGTGGTGAGCCAAGGAGACAGGGCCCCTGCCCTATTGGAGTTCACACACCTGCAGGGAAGGTAGACATGCCACGGGTCACTCACAGGTGTGTCCGTGTAAGTACAGGGTGTTATCAACTCAAGAAGCAAGGGCCTCTGCTAGCCCAGGGAGCAGAGAAGACCTCTGTGAGGAGGTGATTCCTGCACTGAGATCTTAAGGCAGAAGAGGAGTTAACGCCACCAAGACAGAGGGCAAAGCGTGCTAGGCAGAGGATGGATACAGCATAGGCAAAGGCCCTGAGGCAGGAAGGGGCTTGGAGTTCCTCTGTAAAAGGAAGCATGACCAGGGAGCAGAGAGGGGTCTGGGAGAGAGGAGGGGGGAGGAGGCTGGGGAGGTGGGCAGGGACCAGAGGCCGCAGGGTGTGGCAGGCCATTGCAAAGGCGTTGGTCCTTATCCAAAAGGGTTTGGGAAAACTGGACAGTTGTTGACGGAGGTGTATCAGGATCCTATGTGCATTTTAGAAAAGCCACTAAGGAAAACAAACCAGAAGGAGACCTGCGTGGAATAAGAGAAGCCACTTAGCAACCCAGCGCTGTGCTCCTCCGACGATCTGTCGGGGAGGACCATTTCCCCACAATCCATCACGTAGCTAGGATTTTGTAAAATGCAACAAAAATTCACTTGGATGTCACAGCAATGTCAAATTGCTATAAAAGTTTCTAAACAGTCCCACTTACTCACTCATTGTGGACCAATAACAGACTGCTGACTGTCACTAGCCTATCGATGACAGTTTGAGTAGCACAGGTGTAGTACATGTGTGGTTCCGAGAGACTCGAGCATCCAAAGAAAAAAATTGCTTTATTTTCTAGAACCTCATTAAATCTCTAACACCTCACCTCTGTTTGGCCAGATGCAGGAAACCCATTCTCAGCCCTTGCAGATAAACCTGCAGGTTGCTATTCTGCTGCATTCGGGATCTTTCTTCTCTTCCATCTCCCTCATCCCGCTGCTCCTCCCTGCTCCGCTCCAGGGAGCTCAGGGACACGCCAGCCCAGCTCTGGGGGGGCAAGGGGCTGTGCCTTCTAGTCTTCGCCTGCCTTTGCCAAGCCTGTGGTAGCTCGTGCCCTGGCTGTAGCATGTCCCTTCTGGTCCCTGGCCTGGTCTGTGAGATGGAGCTGCATCTCCCTTTGGTCCTCATCTAGTCAGCTCATCAACACGTCCCCTGCCCCACCAGTGCCCTCATCCTGGGACTAGCCTCTGTCCCTCCCTCCCTGACTCCCTCTCTCCATCCTTTCCTCCATCCCTCCTCCCCTCCTTCCCCCACAACTGGCTCCTTTCCCATCCCCTCTGGGGCTGCCTTCCTCCTGCGTGACGCTGCTCACAGCTACCCCTGACCTTCAGCTCTGTCACCACTGGAGAGAGCAAGGCTGCCTAGGATCAGAGCATCGGAGGGGACCAGCAAGGCACCGGTGCCCCTTACCTTGGATCTCTGTCCATAAGGCGGTGGCCCCAGTGTTCAACTCAAGGAAATGGAACAAGTACACTTAGGTAAAATGCTTTGCCTCTGTGTCTCTCTCCCTGTCCCTCTCTCCCTGTTTTCTTCTCCTCCCTCCTCCTCCTCCTCCCCATCTTCATCTTTCTCCTCCTCCTCCACTTCCTCCTCCTCCCTCTCTCTCCCTCTCTTCCTTCCTTCCCTCTTTGTCTCCTTTTCTCTCCTCTTCTCTCTTTTCCCCTTCCTCCCTCTCTCCCTCTTTTCTTATCCTTCTCCTCTTCCTCCTCCCTCTCCCTCTCTCTAATCTTTCTCCCTCTCTCTCCTTTCCCCTCTTTAAACCCTCCCCCTACCTGGCCTCTAGTCAGTGGGGAGATTTCCTGAATCTTTCTGTCTCACAGCTGGATCTACATTTTGAATGAAAAAGCTGATAAATCGCCACCCTTATTCCCAGCTCCTGTTCTGCCAACCCACTCCCTGGGGAAAGAAAGGGACTAGATGTGAGTGCCACTCACCCATATTTCCTCCCCTGCTCTTTTGAATCACACATGATCCTGTGACACGCTGTGGCCAATAAAATGTGAGCAGCAGAGACAGGTGTCACTTTGGGACAGAAGCATTTCAGAGCTGTTGAACGTGCTTTTCTCTCTCTCTCTCTTTTCTCCACCCTGTAGCAATGGGGGGAGCAGGGATTCGTAGGCAGGAGCTGTAAGATCAGAGCAGCCTGGAAGGCTGAGCTGTCACAGGGGACACCTGTCCCAGAGCATCACCGAGACCCGTGGCTGAC